AATTTTGAACTTGAAAGGATTGAGCAGTGTAATTTTGACAGGTGCATATGAGTATTAGAAGCTGAAATGTGAAGCCCTTTGAGAGTATTCTCTAAGAGGAATTTAATAACTCACTATATTCTGTAATAAGAATTTAATAAGAACTGATGTTAAGAACCCTAGGGTTGCAACTGCTAGACAGGCAGCAATAATGGCTGAGGATTCTGAATTAATCTGTAAACTAAATCTTTTCTCTGTCACCCTCATAACTTTGAAAGGATAGAAAATGGGAGAGTGAAAAGAAGACAAATAACCAAGGTAAGAAATATTAAACTGGGGATTCCCCACCGTTTCCTCAGATGAGACAGATCAGTGCTGAGGGCGGAGGTGAAAATCGATAGCTGGGGTGTTCCATTGTGACAAGATGTTCAAAATGCTGGAATTTGAGAGGGAAACCCACAGGATGTATCGGAGTTTGTAAGAATGGGGCCAAAAAGGAAATGCAGAAGGCAAAAAAATGCAAAAGAAACTTTAATTACAACCAAGAGACCAGAGGTACACACTGGTGCGATTGTAGAAGAAAGACATGGGTTAGATGAGAGATATGAAGGATTTTTATTGAAAGCAGCGATGACCTCTTTTTCTTCAAAGGAGCATCCAAAGCCCATAACTATGCCCAGAGAAACAGGGGCTGTTCAAACTCTGTTAGTGGGGTGGAGCATGTAAGGGTAAAGAGGGGTGGGAGGATCATGTGTTGGCATGAGCTGGAACTAACCTGGTTTAAGGGCTATAAGAGGCCATGGGGTGTTGGCAGGTGGCATAGGTTAGCACCAAGTTGGCCTTGGGGCTATAAAAGGCCATTGGGAGTGGGTAGTTGGGGGGGGGGGGGGGTGCATGGATTGTCTTGTCTAGCCACATCTGGGCACAGGCATAGGGAGTGTTTGGATCATGAAGGTAAGGACTTGGGGGGGTGGGGTAGGCACCAGGACTAATGTTTAATAGTGCCGCTGGAACAATGTCCCAGAGAACTGCAGGAGGATTTGAAACAGCAACCACCCCTCTACAGCCCTCAGTACCTGGTAGCCCCTATGGCTGCTCCTGACCTGCTCACAGGGGTGGTAGAGACAACAAGGTGCAAAGCTGGATGAACACAGCAGGCCAAGCAGCATCATAGGAGCAGAAAGGCTGACGTTTCGGCCTAGACCCTTCATCAGAAATCAGGGGTGGTAGCCCTGTCTGCATCCCATCTTGTAATGAAGTTTCTGTCATTTGGGACATTATTTATGGAGGCATGAGCAGAGAGCTGGGAGATTTCACAGCTCTCTACACCTTTCCCTGGGAATGAAACTCAAAGTTAGGGTCACAAACAGGTGGGGGTGATATTCTATAAACAGCACCATTAGTCTAAAGGTCACATTAGATTATTTTTTGTTAATTTCCAAGCCTATTTATTTAAAAGTCACACAGACCTATCATCTAATTTTAAATTCATTCAATTTTCTTAAACACAATTCCTCATTTTTGTTTCATTATCCATTTGAAATCATCAACATGCATCAAGAAATCCGAGAAAGCTTTCCTTTATGATATGTTAATGGATCATTGTGAGATCAGCTTTTACTTCCACCCAGCCTGCTTTCGGCAAAACAGAGCTCAGTAAAAAAAATCACACCCTCCACATATCATGCAGACCACAGATGGATTTGTTCAGTTTACAGAGGGTTCCTTCTGAATCGTCTTTCTGAAATAGCCTTTTTTATTCATTGATCTTTATTCCCATTAATATATGGGTAAAAGAGTCAGGAAGGGTTTTAAGATTACTTCTCTAATAATGGCACAGTCCAGGCCCATATCTACATCTACCGTTTGGCCACAAAACACAAGCAACAATTAAGGCTAAGCGATTGGAATCATCATAGAATCCCTTCAGCCCAAAGTGACCCTCAGAGCATCCCACCCAGACCCATCTCCCTATAACCCACCTAATCGACACATCCCTGAACACTGCAGATAATTTAGCATGGCCAGTCCACCTAGCCTGCACATCTTTTGACTCTAGGAGGAAACCCACGCAGACACTGGGAGAACGTGCAAACTCCACACAGACAGTCACCCGAGGCTGGAATTGAACCCGGGCCCCCTGGTGCTGTGAGGCAGAAGTGCTAACCACTGAGCCATGACATTAGCTTGCTTTTGGCCAACAGTCTCAATGGGCCAAAGGGCTGTAGATCTCTCTGACTCTATGAATCTAACCTCACTTCAGCCTTTCAAGTTCCAACTTCAAGGACAAAGCTGGTTGGTCTGAGTTCAGGGCTTTAGAATCAACTCCAAACTCTCTCCAAATGTATTCAGCTGTCTTTCTTTTATCCTTTTAATCATTTATCCTTAAACACTGTGGAAGCTTTCAAACCATCACAATCATGTGGACTTCTGCTTCTGGTTCAGAGACAATTGTGTGGTCACTTCCTCATTATTTAATCTGTAGATGCTCTGGCCTGTACTTCCACTTTTATATGTCTATATCAAGTTGGCTGTGGTGTGATCTCCCTCTTGCACAATGCAGTTCACGATGCTTGTCTCTCCTGGTTCTCACTATCACCACTGTGCCTTCTCAGTCTCTGACCTTTCACCTCTCAGGCCACAGACCTCACCAGCATCCTGAACATACAGCTCAAAATGTAAACTTGCCAGGAGCTTTCCCTGCATGGTCACTGATGTTTCTCTATCACTGCATCTCTCCCTGCACGAGACCCCTTTGTCACGTCATTTGAGGACCCAATCTGGGTATGTGACGGCTGTGTCGGGAGCACCCCACCTCGGTTCCTGCCTGGGGTGTGCCGATTCAGGAGGTAGACCAACCTCTGGCACGAAGCATGGCCTTCCCTTGGGATAATCCCCTTTCGTAGCCATCCGGCTGCAGGGTCGTGTGGCCGGAAGTTTCCAGCTGCTCAAATCCCCTTTGATGCTAAAATCCCACTCTCACTCTCCCATCACGCAAAAGACTGCAACTCTCAGGGTAAAATTTGACCTAATTGTAACATGTCCTGGGGAGGGAGGATGAGCCAGTGAGCACCTCCCAAATCCACAACCACTTCCATCTAGAAGGACAAGGACAGCAGATACATGGGAACACCATCCCCTGAAAGTTCCCCTCCGAGCCACTCACCATCCTGACTTGGAAATATATCGCCGTTGCTTCAGTGTCACTGGGTGAAAATCCTGAAAATCCCTCCCTAAGGGCATTGTGGGTCCACTACAGCACATGGACTGAGCAGTTTGAAAAGGCAGCTCACCACCACCTCCTTAGGGGCAACTAGGGACGGGCAATAAAGGCTGGGCCCAGCCAGTGACACCCACATTCCGTGAGTAAATTAAAAAACCCCACAAAGAATAGAAGTTAATCTGGGATTGTAGCTTTGAACTAATTTGTAAGAACTATCTATATAATAGAACACTTTGTCTAAAATTCTTTTTATAAACTGTCCCATACTGGAAGCGCTGTTCATAATAGAGTCCCACTCTCAAACTACTTCATCGTGTTTGATTTGATTTGATTTTTTTATTGTCATGTGTACTCAAGTGCAAAACGAGTACAGTGAAAAGTATCTAATGTTTGTATGTGAGTGTGTGTGTGTCTGTCTGTATGAGAGTGTGTCTAGGTGTGAGTCTGTGTATGTGTCTGTATGTGAGTGTGTATGTAAATATGTATGTGAGTGTGAGTGTGCATGTGTGTGTGTATATGTATGAGTGTGTGTATGTGACTGTGTGTGAGTGTGTTTGAGAGTGGGTATGTGTGTGTGTGTGTGTGTGTATGTGAGTGGGTGTTTGTCTGTGTAAGTGTGTTTGTGTGATTGTGCATGTGTATGTATGTATATGTGTGTTTGTGTGTGTGTGTGTGTGTGTGGGTGTTTGAGAGTGTACGTGTGTGTGTGAGACTGTGAGAGTGTGTCTCTCTGTGTGTATGTGAGTGTGTCTGTGTGTGTGAGTGCATGTGTATGTAAATGTGTGAATGCGTGTGTCAGTGTGAGTGTGTCTAGGTGTGAGTCTGTGTATGTGTGTGTGTGTAGGTGTCTGTATGTGAGTGTGTATGTAAATATGTATGTGTGAGTGTGTGTGTAAGTGAGTGTGTGTGTGTATATGTATGAGTGTGTCTCTCTCAGTGTGTGTATGTGACTTTGTGTGTGTTTGAGTGTGTTTGAGAGTGGGTATGTGAGTGGGTGTTTGTCTGTGTAAGTGTGTGTGTGTATGTATGTATATGTGTGTTTGGGTGTGGGTGTTTGAGTGTACGTGAATATGTGTGCGTGAGTGCGTCTCTCTGTGTGTGCGTGAGTGCGTGTGAGTGCATCTCTGTGTGTGTGTGTGTGTGTGCGTGAGTGCGTGTGTGTGCGCGCGAGTGCGTCTCTCTGTGTGCGCGCGCGAGTGCACGTGTGTGTGAATGTGTGACTGTGTGAGTGTGTGAATGTGTGTGTGCACGTGTGTGACTGTGTGAGAGTGTGTGTGTGTGTGTGTGTGTGTGTGTGTGTGAGTATTTCAGGACATGCCTGTTCAACAAGGGAAATAGCCTCAGCAGCTCATGTGGTGCCACCTCTTGGAAGTCAGCAGTTTCTTGATCCTGGATGTTGCTGGCAGCAGCATCATGCGATAGGCCTGTGTGATGCCCCTACTTCGGCAGGTTGTGGTACGGGGATGGTAGTGGTTAGGGGAGGCGAGCCCTCTTTCCCATGGCCTTAGATGCTAACACCTACTGTCACCAAATAACAGTGAGTCCAGAGGGCCCCAGAGCAGCAGCTCCCTGGGACAGGATTTCCTGTTCCTGTTTCTCAGGCTGGCGTTCCTCTCTCTAGCCCATGGATGGAGGAGGGTGAACGTGCCACAGTAGCCCATTAGGTCTACCATATGATGTTTCAGGGTACATTGTTTCATAGAATTAACTCAACATAGAAGGGGGTTATTCAAATCCATTGTGTCTGTAACATCTCTTTAAGTGAGTTATTTAATTATTCACACTCCCCTGCTTTTACCTCGTTGTGCAGCAATTGGTCACGTTTATGTCCAGTTCCATTTTCACAGCTTATTATCTGAGTTTCCAGAGTTGGAGAGCAGTCTCTGTGCGGGCCAAGCAATTGTAAAACCTTTGCAGAAGATCACACTCAGGAGGAGTCCTGCAAGCAGAATAAGGAACTCTATAGCGTGTTTGTTGACCTGAACAAGGTTTTTGACACTAAACCGGAAGCCTCTGTGGAAGACTCTGAACAGTATGTCTGCCCTGAAAAGTGTTCACTTGTTTCATGATGGCCAGTGTGTTGCAAAGTGAGAGGTCACCAGCTGATTTTCCAGTCGGCAGGCAAGGCTGTGCACTCCAGCGCTGTTTGCTGTATACATCTTGGCCGTGTACCAGGGTATACTTAATGATTTTGTCACAAGGGCACACATTCAATTCAGGACCAATGCATCTTGGTCACAAGTCGCTGCACTCTGATTGCACAGTCTCCAGGGGACATGTAGTTGCTTGTTTATCACTTTGCTCTTGCCATGACCCTCATGATTTTATAAACTTCTATAAGGTCACCCCCTCAGCCTCCGACGCACCAAGGAAAATAGACCCAGCCTATTCAGCCTCTCCCTATAGCTCAAACCCTCCATCCTCAGCAAAATCCTTGTAAATCTTTGAGTTGGCAGAAATTTGAGGGGAAAGGGTATTGGAGTATTGGGGAACATCATGGGGAACAATGTCAGGAGGCTGTTTTGAATAGGGAGCTGGTCATAGCTTGGAGGCATTTTCAGGCCTACAGCATGTTATCTCAACTCAGGAATGTGAGTGATATTAAGTTTAGTGTGAACATGGCCTTCTGTGTGAGCTCTGAATCTGGGAGTGGGAATGCTGTATGTTTAACTTTCAACTCCAGGAAATCAATACTGAGTGTTATTCATTGACAGAACCTGACAATGCAAATGCTGTGCATGATCTGAGCCTGAGACAGTGAACCATGTCAATTCACTGAAACTAGTTGTGTTTACCTTGGAAGCTCTGCAGCTTCCCTGTGGCAGTCATATTATTCAACTACACAATGCAGGAATCAATGAACTGCTTTATAGCAACTGGATCCAATTACTCTTTCCAGACAAACTGTTGATCCTTGATGTTTTACTATTCTCGGGAAGCATCATTTCGATGAGATGCTGAATTAAGGTCCCATCTACTTGTTCAAGTGACGCAAATTATCTCATGGTACAACTTCAGGGAGGAGCTGGGGAAACTGTCCTGGCGTCCTGGCTATCCCTCAGTCTACATCACAAAAGCAGATATCTGGTCAATATCACATTGCTAACTACACTTGTATAAATGTTAGTAGAATACAGATGTTAGGCTGTGATGCTAATGGAATATTATGACCCCAAGCCTCTCCTCGTTCTGAGACACTATGGGTTTTACTCAGCAATTTGAGAACCATGGGAATCCATATCAGGATTCTTGACTAGATTAAAGCAATGGGCAGAGGCATGTGACTTTAACAAGATGCTGTAGAAGCCATTTGGTATTGTGGAGTTAATGATGTAACCATGCAAAAGTGAACTGGAAATCCAACTGGACTTCAAACAACATAACTGAAGCAGAAGGAGAGGATTATTTTTGAATATTCTACAATGAAGACAGATATTAAATACTCCTTCCAAATCTCTGTCAGTTCCTTCTTTCCCATTATTAATTCCCCAGTCTCATTTTCTAAGGGACTAACATTTACTTTAGTTACTCTCTTCCTTTTCCAGAAGCCCTTCTTTGATTAGTGGCTTGTGATTTTTTTTTTTCCACTTGCCTGAGAAAGCAGACAAAGCCCTGTGTTAACATTTCATTGGAAAAGTAGCACTTTCAATAGTGCAGACTTTCTAGCAGTGCACTGAGGTATCAATCTTGTTCAAATGCTCAAGTTTCTGGAGTTGGCTCAAACCCATAACCTCTGGGAACAGTGGAAAGATAAATAACATTCAGCTGAAATTTATTCAGTGCTCCAATTGTTGCAACTCCAAGTTTTCCACATAAATGATATCATTAATGTTACATTCTTCTTCCATGTAACATAGGAATCAAACACGAGTTGGTATTTTTCATTTGAAGATAAGACTAAATATTTGTCATGCTCATTAAGAGGCTAAGTATAATACATCTAACCTCCACCCTGCTGCTATTAACTAACAAACCATGGGACAAAAATAATTACATCCTGCTGAGGTATTGATTGATAGCAGTTTTTGGATATGTTGCTTTGAAGGTATATGCATATAATATCACAATCATTACAAGATATATTTTGGGTTTCATCTCCAGGCAGATCATCTGGCTTGGCTGGTTACAATGAAGCCCACACAGTGAAAATCTGGCTGCTTCTTTGAAACGCGTGTGACACATCCAGTAAATTTCAGTGAGGGTAAAAATCTCTGTCTCTCTGTCTGCCATTTGGTTACTGTCAAACAGAATTAAGCAATTCCTCATGGTTCGGGTTTGAATTGTGGTCTGAATCAACACTTATGCAGGAATGAGACTGAGTCGGGGGCAGAGGGTGGTGGATGACTGGAGGGAAAACCCCAGTACCATGGTAGCTGAAGCTATTCTGGGAAAAGAGAGAGAGGCTGGTAGGCAGATTAGAAAGGTAATAGTTGTGGGTGACTCAATAGCTTGAGTCTAGTTTGCAGCCGACATTGTGAATCCTTGAGATCTGTTACCTTCCAAGTATAAGGGTTCAGGACATAATGGAACAGCTCGACTAATTTCTGGAAGAAGAGACTGTACAACCAGCGGGGGTCATTGTTCATGTGGGAACCAATGACATAGGGATGGATAGCTTGGAGATCTTGCAGAATCAGTTTCAGGAGTTAGGGAGTAGGTTGAAGGGCAGGACCTCAAGGGTAATAATCTCAGAAATATCGCTGTGCCACAAATGTCGCCATTTAGGTAAAAGCAGATCGCAGAGGTAAATGTGTGACGTGAGGTGTGGTGTAGAAGGGAGGGGTTTAGGTTTTTAGCACATTGAGATCACTTTTGGGAAATGAGAAAGCTATTCAGAAGAGATGGGCTTCACCTGAGCAGAAGATGAACTACTTTCCTGGCTGAGAGAATAAATAGTGTAATGGGGGGTGGATTTAAACTTGTAAGGCATGGGGTTGGGTTGATTATGAGCCTACTTTTGGAAGTACCAGAAAGGGCAAAGGAGAGAAGATGGGGACCAGGGTAAAGGAATTGAGAGAAGACTCAATTGAGAGAAGAGCTGACAGTGACCAAATAAATTATCGTCTTCTAATAGACAAGAAAGAGATAAGGACTGGATACTTAACATCCTGGGTTATAAGACTTGTTGTAGAAACAGGATGTGTAAAAGGGAGGGAGGTGTAACAGTCTTGGTTAAAGAGAGTATCATAGCCCTTGAATGAGATCTGATTCTTGAATAAAATCTATACGGTTGGAGGTGAGAAACAGGAGGGGAGCTATAACTTTGGGTATTTATTTTGGACCTTTGAATAGTGGAGAGCAAGTAGAAGAGAGCATTTGTCAGCAGATTATGGAGATCTGCAGGACATGTAGGGTTGTGATAGTTGGTGATTCCAATTACCCTTTGGACAAACTGGGAAAAAGGTCGAGTGTGGGACATGGAAGGGGACAAATTCCTGCAATGCGTGCAGTAGAACTTTCTGGAATAATACATTCCCAGTCCTACAAGGGAAGGAAATGTGCTGGATCTGGTCTTAGGAAATGAGGCAGGCCAAGTGGAGAATGTCAGAGTCAGGGAGCATTTGAGAAATAGCGATCATAACACAATAAGGTTCAATATTAAGTTGGAAAAGGATAAAAAAAAGTCAAGGAATGAGACCCCAAATTGGAAAAGGGCAAATTTTAGGGGTCTAAAAGTTGAACTGGAGCTCGTTGATTGAAAACAGATTTTGTTGGATAAAACAATGGATAAAAAAAGAGAGAGTTTGAAAAAAACGAGATAAATAGGGTACCAGCTAGGTACATACCCATTGGAAATAACGATGAGGTATCTAAAACTCAAGTAACCTGAACAATAAGGATATTTATGAGAAAATAAGGAAGAAAAGGAAGGCATATGATGCATACTAGAATAATAATAGCAACAGAAATCAGGAAGAGTATCTCAAATGTAGGAGAGACGCTAAGGCGGGCATAAGGAAGGGTAAATAGAAGCATTAGGAAAGGATGGCAGACTGCACTAAAACAAATATTCTTCAAACATATTAATAGTAAAAGATTAGTGAAGGATAGAGTGGGGTCCATAAGGAACCAGCAAGGTAAGCTGCTCACTGAAGCAAAGAATTTGGCAGAGATACTAAATCAATATTTTGCCTCTGTCTTTACCAAATTAGAAGATGGTTATAATGGCCCAGTTGAAAGTGATAGATAAAGAAGTGGTGCTAAAAAGTCTGGCAGCACCCAAGATAGAAGTCACCAGACCCAGATAGGATGCATCCTAGATTGCTGAGAGTGGTAACGCAGCAAATACTCACCATTATATGCTAGCCCCTGGCCTGCTCTTGTAGCCACTATATTTATATGGTGAGTCCAGTTGAGTTTCTGGTCAATGATAATACTCAGGACATTGATAGCGGGAAGTTCAGTGATAGTAACAGCATGTCAAGGGGTAATGGTTTAGATTGTTTCCTATTGGGGGTTCTCATTGCCTGGCATTTGTGTGGCACGAATGTTATTGACCATTTTTTTTAATCTAAGCCTGGATATTGTCTATGTCTTATTGCATTTGAACATGGACTGTGTCAGTATCTGAAGAGTCGCAAATGGTGCTGAACTATGTGCAATCATCAGTGAACATTCCCACTCCTAACCTTAAATGATAGAGGAAGGTCATTAAAGAAGCAGCTGAAGATGTTTGGGCCTCGGACACTACCCTGAGGAACTCTTGCAGAAATGTCCTGGATCTGAGATGACTGACCTCCAACAATCACAACCATCTTCCTATGTGAGATAGTAGGAACTGCAGATGCTGGAGAATCCGAGACAACAAGGTGCAAGGCTGGATGAACACAGCAGGCCAAGCAGCATCATAGGAGCAGAGAGGCTGACGTTTCGGGCCTAGACCCTTCATCAGAAAAGGGGGAGGGGAAGGGGGTTTTGAAATAAATAGGGAGAGAGTGG